ACTTGGAAGAGAGGGTGATGGACTTGGAGAAGAAGGACCTTCAACCCTTCGTTGACGCCAAAGGTGTGCCGAGGTTTTTGCTGGTGGGAGGACAACATCATGGAAAGTCATCCTTCACAAATCACCTGTATCGTTGTTTGAAATGTGATTTGATGTTGAATGACCAGATGGATGTGGCCTCTGCAGGTGTGGAGGAGAAGACGTTGCAACGAAGAGTCTCACTGTGACGCTTGATCCCTCACAAGTCGTGTTCATTGACACTCCGGCTTTTGCCAGCATGAATGCTGCGACCATGGGAAAGCTTCACACCTTGCTTTCCACTGGAATCAAAGATGGGACTCGTCGAGAAGCGCTTCCACCTGCCGAGCAAAGCTTGTTCAGCAAACCTCCACATGGAGCCATCGTTGTGATTTCACTCTGCCATTGGCGAGATCAACCGCAGGAGATGCAAGTGTACTTGGAGAAGATGGCGGAGGCCTTCAAGAACGCATCCGGTGGTTCCGTGGCATTCCCTTACGTTGTGGCAGCCACCCACCGCGACAGTTTCCTGCAAGATTGCCAAAAGGAAGATCCTGCAAAGGAGCTGCAGAATGCTGTAGAAGACATCAAGAAAGCTGCGCTGACAGATCATGTCTACACAATCACCAGCTACAAGAGGGAAAGCTTCGGAAGCGCTCGGAACAACAAAGCTACGGGCGACTTGCTTTCTCAGCTCCTGACAAAAGCCAAGCTGGAGAATACTGGAAAGGTGCAAGACCAGACCACCCACAACGCAATCATCTTCATCATCATGGCAGTGGTTGCGCTCGTGGTAGGACTGCTCATCAATAAGATGAAGTCGGATGAGGCCTTGCCTAGTGAGCCTGTGAGCTGACGTGCTGTTTTGATTTGAGAAAGTGAGGCAGTAAGGCATTCCAGCTCAGCATTTGTAGTACAATTGTGCCTGGGCAGCAAGTACAGTCGTCGCTGAACCCTTCTTGTCAAGTTGCTGTTTTGCAATTTCATCTACAAAAGCAAGTCCCAGACGTACTAGCCATTTTTCTGAAGGGTGCCGACGCTATCAGACGCCTTGCTGTGAGTCTGCAGGCCGCTGGCCTTGTGTACATACCCGAAAACGGCTTTGGAAAAATAGAGACGGGTTTAGCCTTGTTGGCTTTGCAGAGGACTGGCTTTTCGGATTGTCTGGCGCGGGGGCAAGCAGAGCTGATGCAGTGGGGGATATGTTGTCTTCATTTGTAGAATTTTGTAGACATTTTAAAGTTTTTTTTGTAAGCGTTGCTTCGGACTTGCCCTATTCACTTTGATCCTTCAAAAGCCTTTGATCGAAGAGGCAGGTCTATCATCGCCCAGAAACATCCTTGGACTCCTTTGTCAGGCCAGGGGCAGACGAAATAGCAGCTGTCTCCAGAACAATCAACGCAGGCAGGACCAAAGCTCTCTGTCATTGAAAGCAGTTTCACTTTGGGACGCTTTCTTTTCACACTCAACCGAGCAAGGTGGTCCATTTGGCACTACGTATACTTGCTATGGGCGGTCATGGTGTGTTGGTCAGACTTTTGTATGTATCCTCGAACGCCAAGAAAGGTAAAGGGTTCTCAGCGTGTGCTTGCTCAAGATCTAGCGGCTGTCCCAGTTCATGGAAGATTCAATGGATGATAGTCCATTCGCCTTGGCAAGTGTTTTGAGTTGCTTCGACCAGATCGCCTCATCCCTACAAAGATGTGCTTTCAGGTGCGATGTAAGCCAGTATACTAAGTATGCCTTGGTGAATTGCGCAACTGTTTTTTTGCGTGGCTGGGGCCTGGATACTTATGGTGTTTAAGTATGCAACGCTGCGTGTTTTTTGAATTTAGTGACACGTTGTCACCTTTGCTCAAGCCACAGCTTTTCAGTCTCAGGTCTTAGACAGCCTAGGATTCGGACGTTTCCAGTTTCGCGTCTCGCATGTGGCACCATGGAACCACAGCTTCGGCATTTGGTTTTCTCTACGCGCCTGGGATGCGATTTAGATTTTGTATTGTACGCGGCGCTTACTAGTTTCTGTTCTTTATTCGACCCACCTCTCTCAAAGTTGAACTTATTGACCCACCTTTTGTCCACCCTCTCCCCTCAAGTATAGTATCATACAACATGCCACGCTGCGCCATTTGATGTTTCAATGATGGTGGATTTGCCTGATTTGCTTGCCTTCTGTAGACATTGGATGTTTGTTTCCGTGTACACACTGTAAGCCGGCCCCTGATTTTTCACTTTTCAGTGTATGAGCGTGGGGGTTGGGAGGTGAAGAGCGATGAAAGCATTCGTTTTCTGAGCTGCGACCGAGGAACCCAGCAGCGCTGACAGGCTACGAGCAGTTCTTGAAGCAGACGGCAGATGTGCCGGTGGAGTTATTCCAGTTCTCAGAGCAGTCTGCGCTGGATATCGGCAAGTTGAAGAAAAGCTTTTCTTCCCGCAGCGCATCGAATGTCTCGGTTCTCTTGCTTGCCATAGAGAATGCCAGCTATTTGTGGTTTGACAAGGAACACAGCCCGAGGAATGTGGAGCTGTGCGCGGCTTTGAGGGAACTTTTTCCGGGCCAGATCAAGTTTGTCGTTTGTCCGACCTCGAAGAAAGCTGGAGATGCATGGAAGTCTCATATTGGTAGGAGGGAACCTTCGAGCATTTTGGGTGATTCTCTTCGCCCCAGTGCTGTGCAAGAGTGGCATGGTTTCGATCCAGGTCAGGACTGCTCCAAGAGCAACATATGCAGCTTAACTTGCAAAGAGGATCAGGGCAACGGGGCTCCGGCGCT